TGTTGGTGTTAGTGCTGTTACAGTGTGACAAAAATATTTGGCAAATATTAGAAGATACCAGTACAAGTCATTATTATAATAACCACTTTTAATTGATAGGTACCAGATGTGCAGCTAAGCCCTTCATGTTTATTATCTCATGCCAATGTTATGAGATAAAACCAAAACCAAATCCAACACAACCTACTGTCATTGAGTCGATTTTGACTCAAAGTGACCCTATAGGACAGAGTAGAACTGCCCCATGGTTTCCAAGGCTGTAAATCTTTTTTTTTTTTTTTTAATTGTTGAGCGTTTATTGAGCTCTAACAATGTAGTGGGTGCCACACACAACATTAGACACAGTACCTGCCTGGTGGATTTATAATCTAAACTATGGACATAAATCATTTTCTGATGTTGCCGTGAGTTTGCAGTTCATGAAAATGAGGTATTAACTGCACTAGTTAGTGCAGGAAAAGGGCCCGTGGAATCACACTGGCTTTTTAACAGGTTTCCCTATGTAAGTAGACAAAGTTGATCTTATTTCTGTTTCTCCGATTTTCCCAAATTTGGTTATTTTGTGGTATGTACAAGTATCTATAAAGATGGAGCCACCAAACCCCACATTTCTGAGAAACAGGGTTCATATCTTACATTTTGTCTGGAAGAAAAAGTTTAGATATATTTTTAGGCAAACTCTTATTCAAAACAGGCTCTAGGAAGAAATAGTGACGGGGATAAAGCTCCTGTTCAGTGTTCCTAGAATGTCTACCCACAGCAGCTCCAAGGCTGTAAATCTTTATAGAAGCAGATTGCTTTTTCTTTCTCCTGTGGAGCAGCTAGTGGGTTCGAACCACTGAGGGTTTGGTCATCAGGTGAATGCTTTATCCACCGCGCCATCGGAACACCTTCCTTATGAGATGTTATGTTATGTGCCGTCGAGTTGGACCCAACTCATAGTGACCCCTCCTTGGGTTTCCGAGGCAGTATCACTACGGAAGTAGATTGCCCCATCTTCCTTCCGAGGAGTGGCTGGTGGGTTTGAACCGCCAGCCTTCTGGTTAGCAGTCAAGTGCCTTAGCCACTATGCTACCAGAGCTCCCCCTTATGAGATAGATACAGTTATTATCCCCATTTGTTTCAGGTGAGAAGTCTAGAAAGGAAAAATAACATGAAATACATGTTAGGGATCAGGAGCAAATAATTTTGATCAGATTTTCATCATGATTGGAAATCAGATTTATTACTTGGAGCTGAATAGTAAAATCAGCTAAATTGTATTAGTGATTCACTCATAATTTAATGTGGTCATCTTTTTCACGTATTGGTAGTGATCCTTGACAAGTTTGGTTTATGAATTGGATCACTTAGTCTCCAGTTGAAATTAGTTTTTTGAATCTTAATGCAAAGAGTACTACTTAATGTATTTATTTCATTAAGAGTGGAAAATAGTGATATATTTAAATTTCTAGTTATTAAATATAGTGGAGTTTTTTTAAAAAGCAGAACTTTCATCAACTGTTTCATTCCCAGAGGTACAGGAAAGTCCGCATAAATTTTTGATTCTTTCTTTTATTTGTTGTTGTTATTGTTGTTAGGTGCTGTTGAGTCAATACCAACTAATATGATGCTAAAACCAAAAAAAAAAACAGAAAACTAAACTCATGCCTGTAGAGTCGATTCTGACTCACAGAGATCCCTCCTTGGGTTTCTGAGGTGGTATCTCTACGGAAGTAGATTGTCCAGTCTTCCTTTTAAGGAGCGGCTGGTGGGTTTGAACCACTAGCCTTCTGGTTAGCAGTCAGATGCCTTAGGCACTACACCACCAGAGTTCCTAGGTAGAACAGAACACTGCCCAGTCCTGTGTCCTCACAATCATTGTTTTCCTTGAGCTTATGGTTGCGGTCACTATGTTAATCCATCTCAGTGAGGGTCTTCCTCTTTTTCTTTAATGCTTTACTCTTCCAACCATGTCGTCTTTCTCCAGGCACTGTTCCCTTCTGATAGCATGTCTGAAGTATGTGAGACAGTCTCACCATCCTTGCTTCTAAGCAGTGTTCTGGCTGTACTTCTTTCAACACAGATTTGTTCATTCTTCTGGCAGTTTGTGGTATATGCACTATTCTTCGCATAATTCAAATGCATCAGTTCTTTTATCTTCCTTACTCATTGGCTTTTGCATGCATATGAGGAAATTAAAAATACTGTTTATTTACCAGTTTTCAAAATAATTATTTTGAAATAATTAGTTACTTATTTACAATAGTTATTTATAATAATTACAAAATAATAAGTTACTTAATAGATGTCACAGGGGACCAATGATGGTTTTGTTTTTTAGGATGGACTTTGTGTTTTTAGTATCGTAATGACTCATGGATTTAAGCATTTGTGTTTTAGTTTGTTACAAATTCTTTTTTTTTTTTTTTTCAAACCAAAGGCATTACATATTTATTAATCACTCAATCTCTTAATGTGGATGCATAGAAAGGAAGAATCCAAAAGTTGCCCCAGTACATGTTCAGTTGATCAGATCACGGCAAAATTTCAAACTTGACATAGTAGAATGCTAGGGAACCTAGGTCGGTATGTGTGCCATCGCACGTTGACTCCCTGTAGACCCAGCTTGGTTCTTCTCCACTGTCTCCTCTTGGAGTTGTGCCTGATTTTATTACCAGTCTTCATTTGAATCCATTGTGGAATGGGCCGGTTCTGTTTTTGTTTCTTGGCCAGGAATCTCTTGATCTTAAAAGTCTTATGGGAAGACTTAGCAAGGAAGGAAGGTAGCCACACTCGGCACGATGGCAGAGAAAGGCCAAATTATCCTTTTTGATGTTCGAATTAGACTGTCTTTCATTAGTGGGAGTCCTTTTGACACAACTCCAGTAGTCTTTGATAGCTTTCTAGTTTCTTGGTATTACGAGATGTTCCAAGGTCTTTTGTGAATTTCTGACCCATGTCTACAGTTAGACATTTTTGTCCGTGAACCTTTTAAATAGTTAACAGTAGTATTCTGGGCACAAAGTATGCTTGTTGCTCCTGAGCTTTTGACTGTGCCTGGGCCTTTTCAGTGGTTCAATGTAGATTTTTTTTTTTTTTTAAATAGAAAGTTTTTTTTTCTTTTGTGATATTTCTGATTCACATTTAAGATCGAGAGTTTTTACTTAATGTCTTTGATTTTATTTTTGTATCTCTTTTTCTTATGCTGAAAATCTTTGTTCCAAATGACATGAACATAACTTACTTACTTTATCCTTTTACATGTGGTAGTTACAGAATGTCCCGTCCCGCAGGACAGTCAACCTAGGACCTCGAGGAGGAGGTGGAAATGGAGGGAACAAGAGACGCGAAGAATGGAGACAACTGGAAAGTCTGATCAAGTCTCGTTTATTGAGTTTCAAACAAATACTTATATATGGTAAAGGAAAGGGGCAGGATCAAGGAATGGGGTGATGTGACGTTGCTGCTGATGGTGAAATAGGGAAACCTATAAAAAATAGATACGTGGCAAGAGGCGGGTAAATTTAAAAGTTCTGAATCACTTCTATACAGAAGTGAAGGCTCAAGACAGGTCTCGAAACTCAAACTTAGGTCTGAAGATGTCCAACAGGCCCAAAACAAAGAAGGGAAGTATTGTGACCTTGTTAAGATGAATAGAATGCCGTGGTGCGGCTCTCCACAACAGAATAACAATATCACTATTACTACTAATATGATTACTCAAAAGACTTCATGATTTTTTTTTTTCAGTTCCTCTTGTCTTTAGACTATATCTCACTAAGGAAATATACATAGTCAGATTACCGTGCTTTAAAATAATTGGAAATAGTTCTTTTCTTTGTGAGTAAGTTAAATCTCAATGCCCAGGTTCGTTTATTTTATTTTCAGGGATTCTTTCTTTTTAACTTAATTTGTTTTATCATTTACATGGTTTCAAACTCAAATTTAGATCTACAACCAAGGTGCAGTCAGAGAAGTCTCGCTTTCATGCCTATTTCCTGCACCCTGTGATATTGATGATGTTCACTCCCTACTCTCTCTGGTGAGATCCCCCAGCTTAGACAAGGAAACGGTGGTACCAGTTTATAACACTGATTTGGATATAGACTGTATGCTCAAAGTAGTTCTTTTAAAGGTGAATAAAAATTGAATTACCCCTGGTTAAAGTACTCAGCTGCTAACCGAAAGATTGCCAGTTTGCATCCACCATCTGCTCCTCAGGAGAAAGATGTGGCAGTCTGCTTCCGTAAAGATTTATAGCCTTGGAAACCTTATAGGACAGTTCTGTTCTGCCCTATAGGCTTACTGTGAGTCTGAATCAACTTGATGGCTTTGAGTTTCTGGTTTTTATTGTAGGAAGAAATAAAACTGGGAAGATAGGTTGGGTTCTGATCATAGAGGGCCTTGATTGTCAGGCTAATAAATTTGGATTTTATTTTGTAAATAATGGGAAATCAATGAAGGATTTTCTTTTTAGCTTTAATTTCTTCAAGTCAAAGATTTGAGTGGTATGCTTCGTAGTTTTCACACAAACATTGTGAAGTAATTGAGTACTAATATGAAATATTTTTTTATGCCACCAGAGCTCCTACTATGGAGAAACTGAAGCACATTTATCAGTAGCCAACTATGATAGCAAATGTTTATTGAGACCATACTGTGTGTCAGGTAATAGTGCTCTCTCTACTAAGTACTTTGTATGGATTGTCTTCTTTAATTCTATATTAAACAGTTTTATTCTTTATATTTACATATGAACTTAATTGTGTTCACTTAACATGTTAGCTGTCACTTTCAAGTTTATGCCAAATCAGAGTGTTTATCTTTTTCAGTAGTTATACTTTGAGGTCTCTTAATAAATGTTAATGTCTGTAGTTTTTTTCCTACGTCTTTTATTATAGTTTATAATTTATAATGGGCTATTAAACACATTTTATAATTTATAAATCTTTATTTAGTTAACCTGGCAAAAAATGTCACTATCTAAAGATAATTACCTGTTTTTTGTTTAAACATAGGTTACCTTATGATGAAGCTTTTGCTATGGCTAATGACCCCTTGGAAGGCTTCCATGAAGTAAACCTTGCTTCACCTACTTCTCCGGACCTTCTTGGTGTGTATGAATCAGGAGCTCAAGAGCAGACTACCTCACCAAGTGTCATCTACCGGCCACATCCTTCAACTTTATGCTCTGCCCCTATCCAGGCTAATGCGTTAGATGTTTCTGACCTTCCTACACAACCTGTGTATTCAGCCCCCAGACGTTTAAATTGTGCAGAAATATCTGGTATCAGGTAGGAGATCATTGAAACACTTATTCTGTAGTACTATATTTATAAAATGGACCGCTTGTTTGATTACTCTAAGGTTTGTTACTTTAGAAAATTTAAATACAAGCTTGCCATGCAGAGCAGTATGAATGTTCTGGAGCAGGGCTTGGCAAACTTTTTCTGTACAAGGCCAGATAGTAAATGTTTTAAGCATTGTGGGACGTACAGTTGTCACAACTTCTCAGCTCTACTGTTAAAGCACAAAAACAGCCATGGCCAGTCTCTGAATTGTTAAGCATGGTGGTTCTCCAGTACAACTATACGAACATGGAATTTGAAATTTTATCCAGGTTTCACATGCCACAAAACATGGTAATTCTTTTGATTTTTTTCCCCAAGCAGTTGAAAATGTAAAAACTGTTCTTGGCTTATGTTGTTGTGTTGTTGTTAGTTGCCATTGAGTCAGTTCATACTCATGGCAACTCCAGTTGTGCAGAGTAAAACTGCATTCCATAGGGTTTGCAAGACTGTGACCTCTTGGAAGCAGGTCACCCAAGCCTCACTTTGAGGTGCTTCTGGGTGAGTTTGAGCATTTTAGATAGTAGTCCAGTGCTTAACTATTTATACCACCCATGCTCATAGGCCTTAGAAAAACAAGTAGCAAGCTGGATCCCTCACGGCATCCATGTTTACAAATGTACTACCTTGTTTTACCCCTCAAGTTATACCAGGGTTAACTAAATTAGCCCTGAGAAGGGACAGCTGTAATGCTGAGAAGGCGTTGTGGCCTGTAGTTTGCTGACCCCTGTTGTAAAGTAGCACTATCCAATAGAACTTCTGTGCTGATGGAATGTTTTATTTCTGTACCATTTAATATGGTGGCCAATAGCCATATGTAGCTACTGAGAACTTGATATGTAACTAGTGTGACTGAGGACATACTATTAATTAAAAATAGTTATTATCATACTAGATAATGTAGTTCTAAAGCTGTATGTTTATGCCAACTATATTTCAGCATATATTAATATTGGGAGCTCTGGTGGCATAGTGCCTAAGGCATTTGACTGCTAACCAGAAGGCTAGCAGTTCAAACCCACCAGCAACTCCTCAGAAGGAAGGTTGGGCAATCTAATTCCATAGTGATACCACCTTGGAAACCCAAGGAGGGGTCGCTGTGAGTCAGGTCCAACTGGATGGTAGTGCATTCATTGATTGATTGATAATAATATTTTCTAAAAAATGTTTTTCTCCTTTACAGCATCCATGTTACAGACCCAGCACTTTGTTCTACCTCTGGAGTCACAGCTGGGTTAACTAAATTAACCACGAAAAAGGACAGCTGTAATGCAGAGAGGGAGTTTTTACAGGGTGCTACTATAACAGACGCTTGTGATGGCAGTGATGATATTTTTGGCTTGAGTACGGATAGTCTGTCCCGTTTACGAAGCCCATCTGTTTTGGAAGTCAGAGAAAAGGGGTATGAAAGATTAAAAGAAGAACTTGCAAAAGCTCAGAGGGTAAGAAAAATAGGTATTTTTCTGTTAAATGTGTTACATCCTAAATTAATATTTATCCTTGGGATGGGGGCCAACTCATAAATGAAATCAGTATAATTCTACACTTACCCTTCACATATATGCTCAGTCTCAGCTTCTGTTAGAGGCATTTAGGGAATAGGCTTTGTAGTAAAGATGCTGTTCTAAGAGTACTTCTGAAACTCTTTTGTGTCCTTTACATTTCTCTTCCCTGTCTTGCATTACTGATAATACAAATTTAGGGGGCTGGCTCAATATTCTAAAATAAGCCAATGTAATTTTAGAGAACCTAGAAATAGACCTGCACAAATATTCAAAATGAATCAACAAATGTGTTAGTTCACTTCATGGTTGCAGTAACAATTTTGTTCTTCCCCTTGAGCCTAATTTAGGATTGAAAAGAAAGCTGATTATGGAAAACAGTGCAAAAGTAATTCAATTGAGGAAAGATAACCTTTTCAAACAATGATGCTGGACATCTTTTAGGGCAAAAAAAAAAAAGAACTTCAATCTTAGTCTCACACTTCCCACCTGCCCCCAGTTAATTCAGAGTAGATCAAGGAATTAAATATAAAACCCAAAATAGAAAACTTTTAGGAAAAAGCATAGGAGAATATCCTTGTCATCTAAAGGTGGGTAAAAAGTTCTTAGATTTGACATCAAAATCATGATCCATAAAATAAAAAGCTGACCAATTGGGCTTCATCCAAATTAAAAACTTGGTCTCTGAGAGACCGTGTTAAGAAGATAAAATAAGCTACAGAGTGAGAGAGTATTAGTAAGCTACATAACCAACAAAGAGCTCTGGTGGCGCAGTGTCTGTGGCATTTGACTGCTAACCAGAAGCGTGGCGGTTCAAACTTAACAGTCACTCAACAGAAGGAACACCGGGTAGTCTGCTTCCGTAAAGATTTACTGTCTTGGAAACCCAGCGAGGGTCTCTGTGAGTCAGATTTGTCTCGATGGTAGTGGGTACGTAGCCAACAAAGGATTAATATCTGGACTATATAAAGAAATCTCACTTGAAAGGTAAAAAAAAATAATAATTCCAAAAATCCAATTTGAAAATGCATATAGTGCAGTGGATTGCTTTAATACAGCCTTTCTAGCCATGGACTTGTAACTCCTTCAAAATGACTGGCTGGGCCCGATTCATGCAAGGTCAATTACTGTGCAGATTGAATGACTTGTAAGTCCACTTAGTGGATAGGTCAATTTATAGTCTTGGTGGGAGTAGGGGCATGCCTTGAAACTGAAAAGGAGTTTTCTTATATAAAGGCCAACCCTACAGAGGCTAGAGCACCTTACTGCAATCAAGAATTTGGAGCAGAGTGTGTCCTTTAGACAAAAGACCTGAGGTTGCTGTGCTGAGGACCTGCCACACCCCAAAAAAAGAGCTGTAGTACTGATTATGGTGCAAGACGGTGGGAGACAGTGATGGTGGGCTTCTTGGCCCACAGAGAGAAGTGATTGCAGTGGGCTTGCTCACCCATAGAGTAAGAGCTTAGTAATTTCAGGCTTGAGGCTTGCTGGAGGAGCTAAAAGAATTGTAATACTTACATGTAGGGCAGGAGAGACCTCACTGTGCCTTAGCTGGAGTTGCAGGTCTGCCCTGCAGGCAGTAGGGGCCTGGGTAGTGAGGTGGCAAGAGAGTCTTGCAGGCCTGGGTAGTGGGGTTGGAACCTGCGGCAGAGGCTTGAGAGACTGCATATAGGAGTGTTCCTGGGGGTAAGGTGAGGCCCGGCAGCAGAGCAGAAACCTTGGGAGTCCTGCAGGGTCCCTGAACAGTGTGGTGGTAGCTGGAGGCAGCAGTAACATGAGCACACATCTGGCCTGAACTATGGCAACATTGGGGAAGGGTAAGCATTTCCCCTTTTAGAATCTGTTGTTGTTATTTACTTTTGCTTTCTGTAAATAATAATAATGGCTTTCACTTTGCCAACCCTGTGTAAGTGACTTGTGTGTCTGGCTTGATCACAGGTGAATGTAGCACTCGTGGAATGGTTGATGCCAGTGAATGTACATGCCTCATTCCTAGAAGTCTTATGGCTGGCTGGAAGTTTGAGGCACAGCCTGTCTGCATGTGTAATGCAGGCAGACAGCATACTACAATGAGCAAAAGATAAAAATTGAGACATTTTGCCAAAGAGGACATTCAGATGGCAAATAAATGTATGTAAATATGTTTAGGTTCATTAACTGTTAGGGAAATGCAAATTAAAATGAGTGTGAGATCACACTACATGATCATTAACATGACCAAAATGAAAAATGGTGGCAATAACAAGTGCTGACATATGTAGAGAACCTCGGTCACTTGTACAATGCTGGTAGAAATGGCTTGGCAGTTTCTTAAAAATCTGAACATGCACCTCTACCATGTTGTTACATGGTTTCGAGTTGGTTCCATCTCATAGTGACTCCAGGTAACAGAATGAAACACTGCCCAGTTCTGTGCCATCCTGACAGTCGTTGCTATGTTTGAACTCACTGTTGCAGCCACTGTGTTAAATCATATTGTTGAGGATCTTCCTTTTTTATTGACTTGCTACTTTACCAAGTTCGTTTGACAAAGTCTTACCATCCATGCTTCTAAAGAGCATTCTGGCTGTACTTCTTATAAGACAGCTATATTTGTTCTTCCTGCAGTCCATGGTATTTTCAGTACTTTTTGTCAACACCATAATTCAAAGACATCAATTTTTCTTTGGTCTGTCTTATTTATTGTCCAGGTTTTGCATGCATATAAGGTGATTGGAAAATACCAAGGCTTGGGTCACGTGCACCTTAGTCCTCAAGGTGACATGTTTGCCTTTTAACACTTTAAGGAGGTCTTTTGCAGCAGATTGCTGAGTGAAAAAAAATACTGATTTCCAAAAGCTATATACTATATGATTCCATTTATATAACATTAAGATGACAAAATTACAGACACAGAGAACAGTTTAGTAAGTGCCAGGGGCACAAGGGGGGGAAGAGACAGGAGGGAAGTAGGTGTTGGTATAAAATGGCAACATGAGAGGGATCCTTGTGTTGATGGAGATGCTCTGTATAGCATATCAACAATAATATTTTGGTTAGGATACTTTACTATAGTTTTGTAAGATGTTATCGTTGGGGAAAACTGGATAAAAGGTACGTAGCATATCCTGAATTATTTTTTTACAGCTATATATGAATCTAGAGTTATCTCAAAATACAAAGTTTATTTTAAAAAATGGGGTTGTAGTAACTAATTTGTTCTTCCCCTTGAGCCCAACCTAGAATTGAAAAGAAGGTGAATGTAAATATTCTTCTTCTAACTTACTGAGCCATGGGTTGATCTGCAACTTTGGCAAAATTGCCTTAAGGCCATTTAGGTTTAAATTCTGAGATAGCTGTATTGGATCATAGGCAAATTATGTAACTGTGCCACAGTTTCTGTCTTTCTAACATATAATTTCTTTTTTATACTTTTGAAATAAGAGAAGTCATGTAAAGTACCTGGCTCATAGTAAGATGATCAGTACACTTTGTGGTGGTTTCAGAAACAACAAAATACATGTTTTTGTTGTTGTGTGCCAATTCCCCTCATAAGGACCCTATATCAGAGTAGTAGTAGCTCCATTTCTTAGGCTATAATCTTTACTGGGACTGATCTCCAGGTCTTTCTCCTATGGAGCAGATGGTGAGTTTGAACCACTGACCTTTTGGTTAGCAGCCAAGCATTTGACCATTGTGCCACCAAGGCTTCTTAAGCTGGGCAATAAGCTAACTCACCTTATTTGTTTCCCATCATTTGGGAATCGCTCTCTCTTGTTGCCTTATGTCCAATATATTGAAAACCTATGTTTCTTTCTTTTTTTTTAAAGTTTTTTAGTTGTGTCAGGTAGGATGGTAAATCTGATCTTACTCCAGACTGAAGCAAATGTTTATCTCTTTGATTGTCTGCTGCACCCCATCCTAGTGCCCCACACAGAAATCTATACTTAACACACAGATGCTCCAGTAATTACAAGCTTCAGAAATATAAGGATTACGTGTGTTTTTGCTCATGAATTAGGTTGAGCACATAATGCATTCTGAATATATTTTGTTGATTAAATGAGTATACATGATTGTATTTTCACTGGTGTGTGAATAGATACACATATGTAATAGTTATAGTACTGTTAGCTGCTTGTAACCAAACCCCCAAATTATGGTGGCTTAATTTAATATAATTTCATTTTTATTCATTTAACATTTTGAAGCAGATGTTCATAGTTGATAGGCAGTTATCCTCTGTGAAATGATTATCAGGAATCTGTATTTCTCCTGTCTTGGGTATTTGTAAATTACTAGGATTTTACAGTTATATGTATCTATCCAGTAAACCAAATAGAAAGAATGCTTGGAGGAGGCATACCTGCCTTGGCTTAAAAGTGACAAACATAATTTCTGCTTCATTGGTGTGAATCAGTTTCATGCTGATACCTACATGTGTAGTGGGCTAGGAGATGTCTAGCCTGTGGCTAGGCAACCACTTCACAGCAACAAGTCCATACTTTGTGTGTGGTAAGGAGAGCAGAAGGGTTGGTGGGCAGCTAGTCATCTGTGCCATATGTGTACTTTTTTTTTTTTTTAAAAAAACAAAAATGAGATAATTTTAAACATGCTTTTTGGTAGCTTTCCCCTTTTATTTGTTTTTTTTTCTTCTAACTTAATGTATATGTTAGACATTTTTCCACATTTGTACCATATACAACCCCATCATTATTTTTTAATGGTTGTATATTTTATTAGGGAGCTCTGGTGGTGTGGTGTTTAAGGCATTTGACTGCTAACCAGAAGGCTGGTGGTTCAAACCTACCAGCCACTCCTTGGAAGGAAGGTTGGGCAATCTACTTCCATAGTGATACCTCCTCAGAAACCCAAGGAGGGGTTGCTATGAGTCAGATCCAACTTGACAGCAGTGGGTGGGTTTTATTTTTTATTATGTAAATCTACCTCCAGTTTATCAT